TTATAGGGAGACTAATTTGTTAATCAGTGAGCTGTGAACACGAAGTAGGTTGGAGATTAACCTTCCCCAGGCTTGGCGAGCCTTCCCTGGGAGACAGGGGAATAGAGTAGAGTAGAGTAGAATAGAATAGAATAGAATAGAATAGAATAGAAATAGAAATAGAAATAGAAATAGAAATAGAAAATGGAATGGAATGGAATAGAATAGAATAGAATAGAATAGAATAGAATAGAATAGAATAGAATAGAATAGAATAGAATAGAATAGAATAGAATAGAATAGAATAGAATAGAATAGAATAGAATAGAATAGAATAGAAATAGAAATAGAATAGAAATAGAAAATGGAATGGAATAGAATAGATTAGAATAGAATAGAATAGAATAGAGCTGGAAGGTACCTTGGAGGTCATCTAGTCCAACCCCCTGCTCAGGCAGGAAACCCTATACCATTTTGGACAAATGGCCGTCCAGTCTCTTCTTAAAAACTTCCAGTGTTGGAGCATTCACCACTTCTGGAGGCAGGTTGTTCCACTGGTTGATTGTTCTCACTGTCAGGAAATTCCTCCTTAGTTCTAGGTTGCTTCTCTCCTTGATTATTTTCCATCCGTTGCTTCCAGCTACGCCCACCTCCTCCACCATCTCCCTGAATCTGCCCAAACTCTCATTCATTGCATCAATGACACTATCTAACCATGTCATCCTCTGCCGTCCCCTTCTCCTTTTGTCTTCAATCTGCCCCAACGTCCAGGCCTTTTCGAAGGAGGTCCTCTCTTTTCATTTGCTGGACAAAGTATTTGAACTACAGCTTTAGCACCTGTCCTTCCAAAGGACAGTTTGGGTTGATTTCTGTGTCCAGGCTAACATCACAGCTTTGCAAAAGTGTGCTTGCAGAGAGTTGTGGTTTAAGAACTCGAAGGGACAAGGAAAAGAGCAGATTTTTTTTTTCTCCTAAGATTGGCTTCCCTTCCTCAGAGCTGGCTTGGCAGCCCCGTCTTTGCCCTGGGCCTCTGTTGCGTAAACAGCCTTTGTTTCCCTTTTTCTTTTTAATTCAATAAGTGGAATGTTCCAAATCCTTATCTGAAGAGGTCACGGGGACTTGCACAAGGCAGAGCAAACTCTTTGGAACTGAAATGAGATCCATGGCTGGGGCAGGAGAAGTTGGACATTCTTTCTGAAGGACAGTTTCTGAGAAAGAAGAACTCAAAGAGGACACATTGTGTGGGTACATTTGGGTTTGGGAGAGAGCGTGGTGGGCATTCTCACAAAATGTCCCACCACCAGCGGGTTGACCATTCATAGAATGGATACCACGATGGTCACCACCTTTAAAGCGCTCCATGGCATCGGTCCTGGCTATCTCCGAGACCGCCTTCTGCCGCAGATTCCCTCCCACAGGCCGGTACGCTCCCACAGAGCGGGCCTCCTCAGGGTGCCGTCGGCCAAGCAATGTTGGCTGGCGACCCCCAGGGGGAGGGCCTTCTCTGTGGGTGCCCCCACCCTCTGGAACGAACTACNTAAATAAATAAATAAATAAATCACTCCCTACTCACTTACCCCAAGGAAAGCTAGAATGGTTGTTCCTTGCCACTTTTTCATAACTTGATGATCCTCTGAACCGCCCCGTGTAATCTTCGGCCTTTGTTTTACGGAGGATGAGCCTAACTTCACGTGTAAGTAAGGTAAAGGTAAAGGAGTCCATGCGGATTTTACTCTTGCTAGTCATTGCCAACAATAGGAGACGGTGCTCATCTCTGTTTCAAGGGCCCTTGAGCCAGCATTGTCCAAAGACGTTTCCATGATCAAGTGACCATCATGACATGACGGAGCGCTGTTATCTTCCCACCGAAGTGGTGCCTATTTATCTACTTGAATTTGCATGTTTTCAGACTGCTAGGCTGGCAGGAGCTGGGGTGAGGACGGGAGCTCACTCTGTCACATGGTGCTCGGGTCTCAAACCTGGGCTGCCAACTGTCCAGCTGAAAAGACCATCGTCTTAACCTCTGAGCCGCTGCGCCACGTAACTTCCCACGGTCACCCCAGCTGCTGCCTCTCAGGCTTCACCACAGCCCCAGCCGTAAATCTTAGCTCTCCAGACACTAATAAGCCCATATCCATTCCAGGATCTTGTCAGGAGGGTCGCAGCCCCAGCGTGGTTAGATGAATCTCTTCTTTCTTGCAAGCTACAACAAAGCCAGAGCACCAGAGATCAACCCGCCTGCTGCAGTGCCCAGGGATCAGAGCCTAGACGGGGAGATCCCAGCTTTTGGTGGCATCCTTAAACCCTGATTTGAAGGATGGAACAGGTGTAAAGAGGCTGCACGATTTGATATATTTAAAATGGTTTAGTCACAATTCAGCAAGGGCTTTGCTGAAATCTATATTCTTTTCACTTCGCTTTTTCCCCATTTTCAATTCGGTGGACGTTTGGCGCTACTTTTGTTGGCCGTGACAAGCACTGATCCGTGTCGACAATGGGGTCCTCCTAACTTGAGAGCCACCAGTTTCTCCTTGGTGGCGCTTCAAGGAGTCCTCGACTTAACGGCCACAGCTGAGTCCAAACGGTCTGTTGCTAAGTGAGACAGTTATTGAGTGAGTTTTGCCCCATTTTACAACCTTTTTTTGCCACAGTTTTTAAGCAAATCATTGCAGCTGTCAAATTAGTAACACAGGTTGTTAAGTGGATCTAGCATCTCCCATTGACTTTGCTTGTCAAAAGTTCGCAAAAGGGATCACGTGACCCCGGGACACTGCGATCGTCATAAGTACGAACCAGTTGCCAAGCATCTGAATTATGCTTACGGGGATGTTGCAACTGTCATAAGTGTGAAAAAACGGTCGTAAGTCCCTTTTTTGAATTCTGTTGTAACTTTGAACGGTTGCTAAACAAACTGTTTGTAAGTCAAGCACTAACCTAGGGGTAGGCAACCTTGGCTCTTTCATGACTCGTGGACTTCAACTCCCAGAATTCCTGAGCCAGCATGGCTCAGCATGGAAACCTCTCCATTTCTCCTCAGCATGGCTGGCTCAGGAATTCTGGGAGTTGAAGTCCACACCTCTTAAAGTTGCTGAGGTGGAGAAACAATGGACTAGGCCGGGGTAGGCAACCGTGGCTCTTTTATTACTCGTGGACTTCAACTCCCAGAATTCCTGAGCCAGCATGGAAACCTCTCCATTTCTTCTCAGCATGGCTGGCTCAGGAATTCTGGGAGTTGAAGTCCACAAGTCATAAAAGAGCCAAGATTGCCTACCCCTGCACTAACCTATATTATCCCATCTCAGCCTCTCCTTTTCTTCCACCATTTTTGTCTTAGTTATAACCATTTCATTTCCATGGTTAAGCTTTGGAAGCTGGGGGATGCATTTCCTTTAAAAAGAATTGAATTTGCAGCAGTGTGTCGTCCAAACATCGGCTGATCTCTGTCCAATTTAAGTCCCTGCTGACATTTAAAAGAATGGAGAGACTGTTCCTATAGCCTTGCCTCCTGCCCCCATTTTATATTCCTCAGCGCAAGTATAGTTGTTTATATTCCAAAGCTGGCAAAGTTATCATTTTAAAGTTTCTGATTTCAAGCACGTCGTTTCATTAAAGGTTGCCAAGCCTTGAATTAAACGCTCTAGACTTTAGGAGTAAAAGCAATTCACTCCCACTGAAATTGGAGACATTTAAGGAGATTTTGTAAGCCAGTTGTGTTTTTTTTTTAATTTATTTTAAAGTATTGTATTCTTTTTTAAGAAGCAAATGGGAGGCCTCTTGAGAACGGGGAATAAAATGCTAAGTCTGGACCTCCCTCCAGATGAAAAATAAATTCACAGCAGCATAGCTGCAGAAATTATTGTGTTGTTTTTCTGCAGGAATATCTAGAAACCAAGCCCGGTGGTTTCTAGAGCATGATTACCTTTGCTGCTGCAAAATATGACCATTTGAAGACAGCCTTATCTATTATATTAATTTGGTTTCTCCTGCTGAAGAAGCATGCTAGGGTGCTGGAATACGGAGCCAAGAATCTTTGGCAGGGTGAATTAAAAAACAAACAAACAATATTCATGTAGAAGCCTGTCTTGTTTAGCAAGGCCACAAAAGAGGGTGTGGAAAGGATTGTCCTGGAAAATGTGTCCTTCATCCTCCATGTCCTCCAGAAAAGTCCCATGAAAACTAGGAAAGAATAGTTCTCACGGGCTTCAGTATCAAAAGCAGAATTGCTATTTAAAATGTGAATCTCCACCTCTAAACTCATAAATACATCTATCAAGGAAAGATATTCATGCAGATGGTGCTGACAAACACGGAAAACCAAATAAGGCTTAGCTGATTGGATATGGTGGACATCCGATCCCAGGATTTTCATCAATGGCCGTGCTAGCTGGGGCTACTGGGAACTGTGTCCCAAAGGGTTTTTTTCAAAAGGCAATTGGACTTTATTGCTTTTTTGTTTTCCTTTGAAAACGCTTCACTTCTCATCCAAGAAGCTTCTCCCATTCTAAGTTAGTTAACTCAGTTAACTCAGAACTGAAGAAGCTTTTTGGGTCAGAAGTAAAACATTTTCAAAGGGGGGGAAAAAACCCCCAAGGAAGTCGAGTGACCTTTTGGAAAAAGCATCATTGAGACAACCATGACCTGGATAATTGAGACTCTCCATAGTCATACTGAGCACTATAATGAGGAAGGGAGTCATGGAAATTCAGACAGATGTGGTTAACCATCCAACGCCTGAAAGATCATAAAACAATGTAATGAAGACAGCTGGCCCATTTCTCCCAGGAGACTTTTCTAAAGTAGATGATGCCATCACTGACAATGACCTTGTCTTGCTGGACATTGTTGGTTAGTTGGGACAGCAAGACGGTGATGAACATGTGCATTTGAGGATTCCCTACAGGTCTGCTCACGCAGAAAGAGTTTTGTGGACGACGAAGACCCTCTTGCAGGTCTTCTGTCTATGGAATTGGGGGCTGGAAGGGAAGACCACCTTCTCAAGATTGTCCAACTTTCCCTTGCAGAACTGAAAGAAGGGACCAAACATTTCTCCATGGCAGGAGTGTCCAACTATACCACGCTGACCTTGGTGGACCCCAAAGGACTGCTCTACGTTGGGGCTCGTGAAGCCATCTTTGCCCTGAGCATTAGCACCATGGAGATGGAGGAAGCAGTAAGTAGAAGGGTTTGGGATTCTGGATCTCCTGCTTTCCAGGCTGGTGCTTCTGTTTCCAGTAGTGGATCACCTAAGGACTTCTTTCTTGCCACCGGTTCCACAAACCTGTGCAAATGAAATTCTGTTTAGTTCTGACTGTTGTAGCATTTGCCACATGGAACCAGGTCCCTTAAAATCGAAGCACCAGCATTTAATCCCACGTGCTGAGTTTCATCACCTTTAATCTTGTTTTTGGACGGCCTCGTGTGCTTCAAGCCAACCCATTTCCTTGGTTTATGGTTCAGCATGCCTACAAAATGCTCCAATCTATAAGTAAGGTAAAAGATGTATGAGAGACAGGTGGATTTAGACTTGTGAGGGACGATCCTGCTTGCTATTTAATTCCTGGTTAAATAAATAGGATCTGCCTGTCCCCTGGTCATTAATGGAAGGGCAGGTCCCTTTGGGCTTTATGGGCACTAAATCAGCCTTCCTTCCCATCATCACTGGCAGCACAACCCAAACTTGGTGAGACAGGGTGGGGTCAACCTTCAAATGCTGTTGCTCAGAGGGCAATTAAGAGGAATAATTGTTCTTTACAGATACTTTGGGAGGCTCCAGCAGAGAGAAAAGCAGAATGTATCCAAAAAGGCAGAAGTAATCAGGTAAGCACTTTCTGAAAGGTCCACATTTGGTCCCTTCCTTCTGTAAAATCCTTTAACGTAGAAAAACAGAGTTGGAAGGGACCTTGGAGGTCTTCTAGTCCAACCCCCAGACCTTATGCAGTAGCAACGAAAAAAAATGTGGGCTCCCATCGTGATTGTAAGTGGAGGACTACAATCCTCTAAGGATTGTATCTAAGGGCTGTGGAGAAGACCAAAGACAGCCCCAGATTACACTGGTGGACACAAGTCCGTGTCACGCTTTTTAGTTTTTGCATCCTTTCAGCTGATCATTTTAATATTCTGGAAAGTCTCTCTGTTGGAAATACTTACTTTCATCAATTCATGTATATTTAATATCAGTTTAAACAGCCCAGGGTATTTTTCATTAATCAGAAGTAACTTTCATTAAAAAAAGATGGGAGATCAGCCGTTGATTCATCCCTACCCATTAGACACAGTGAATTATGCCGTGTAGGCTGTAGGGTGCCAGATGGAGAATCCTGGTTACAGGTGGTCCTTGGCTTATGGCCACAATTGGAATCAGAATTTCTGTTGCTAACCAGGGCAGTTGTTAGTGAATTGTGGCCAATTTTATCATCTTTTTAGCCACAGTTACTAAACAAATCACTGCAGTGGTTAAGTAAATCATGCGGTCATTAAGCAAATACGGCTCCCCCCCCCGGTTGACTTTGCTTATCGGAAGCCAGCTAGGAAGCTCTCAAAACAGCATTCACATGACCCTGGGATACTGCAAGCCTTGTAAATGCATGCCGGTTGCCGAGCACCCAAGTTTTGATCACATGATCAGAGGATGCCCTGATGGTTATAAGTGCCAGGATCAGTTGTAAGCCAGCGTTTTCAGTGCTGTTGTAATTTGGAACGGTCACTAAACAAATTGTTGTTAAGTCAAGGCTACTTGTATGTGTCACTCGAATGGGAATTCAAAATGCAAATTTAGATTTGTTAGCCCAAACAAGGCAGGGTTATGAGCCAAGGAATTCCAGCATTTGAGGGGCTCCTGCAAAGATGAGGGGGGTCAGACTGTTTTCCAAAGCACCAGAAGGGAAGATGAGAAGCAATGGATGGAAAATAATCAAGGAGAGAAGCAATCTAGAACTAAGGAGAAATTTCCTAACAGTGAGAACAATTAACCAGTGGAACTGCTTGCCTACGGAAGTTGTGGGTGCTCCATCCCTGCAGGCTTTTAAGAAGAGACTGGATAGCCATTTGTCTGAAATGGTGTGTGATCTCCTGCTCAAGCAAGGGGGTTGGACTAGAAGACCTCCATGCTCCCTCCCAACTCTTAGTATTCTATGTTCTGCCTTGTGAAAAAAAGCAACAAGGCAAAATCCTTCGTTTGGGTGGCATTCCTGCTTTGCTTAATAATTGCACTGGAGACTGGGAAGTGAAGCGGGGAAGTAAAAATCTGTTCTGTAGGCGCCCCGCGGTTCAGATACAATAAGCCAGGGTTGACTTGAATCTTGGCTTCTTCTCCCCTGCTAACGCAGCCGCCGTGCCTGCACATTTTGCCCTGGAAAAGGATGCCTTCTGCAGTTTCCATTAAATATGCTTTTTAAAATTAAGAATTGGGAGGGGACGTTCTGCAGGCTGCTGAAGCTTTTCCCCTCTGATGTCTAAATTCTTTTCTCCACTCTCTCTCAGCTTTCTTAGATCTTTTTTTTTTTTTTTTTTACTTCAAGCCAATCTGGGCCGCCTTGAGAATTAGCTACCCGCTGTTAAAGACGGCTCCATTTTCAGGATGTTGTATCTCTGCGCAGCAGCAGAGCAAATGCTCAACGCAGACACCACCACCACCACCCCGGTGCCTAGGTGGGTTGGGGGAGTTTGTTAACAAACCTCTCCTTTCCCTCCCAGACCGAATGCTTCAACTACATCCGCTTCCTCCAGACCTACAACAGCTCTCACATGTACACTTGTGGCACCTACGCCTTCCAGCCCAAATGTGGCTACATTGTGAGTACAGCAGAAACACGGTCCTTGCGCGATACGGTTTGAGCAGCCCAGCTTGTTATTAGGGTTTATTAACAGCCTCTGGGGGTTTTTTTGGGGGGGATGCCTTTTTCAGGATCTGGCCACCTTCTCCTTGGAGAGGTTCTCCTTCGAGGAAGGCAAGGGCAAGTGTCCGTACGATCCTGCCAAGGGATACACAAGCCTCATTGTGGGTAAGTGATCCTCAGAGCGTCTGTGTTTGGAGCTAAAGGGGATGATGGTGGGGTATCACACCGAGGGGGACAATCAAGCATATCTACTCTTCAAAATCTTGATGGGAGCTCCAGGCTTCCCCGTGAGCTAGGCTAATGTCTTTTCCTTGCCTGTTTCAGAGGAAGAGTTGTATTCCGCAACACACAACAACTTCCTGGGTACTGATCCTGTGATCCTGCGCAATCTGGGACCCCAGTATCCCGTCAAGACTGAGCACCTGCCTACGTGGCTGAATGGTGAGATGTTACAGGGGGATGTGGGGGATGTATGTTTCTTCTTTGGAACTTGTCAGCATAGTTACACAACGTTTTCTGTACTGGGCAGAGGGAGGATCAGAGTGCCACACATGCTGCACATTGGACGTATATGCTATTTATATTGTTTGCATTGTTCTAATTGGCTTGGAGTAACTTATACTCGTTGTTGTGTTTTCTGAACTGGCTAGGTTTGCACAGCGTGCTAGACGGCACTTAGATGAGTGTGGTCACTGTCTGGTCAGCACATGGGGAGAACCCAGCCACTGTCATAACACGTTGTTGAAGCTAGGCTGTTACGTTCATTCAGAATGTGGTGGATTTCCTTGGACAACGTCACATATTATATGAATGTGGAATTTTGCTGGGCTTCTAGATCTGGATGTGGCAGAAAACTCAAGAGCCACTAGATGGCAGCAAAGAGTTTGGGCTTTCTGTATCTCCTGGCAGCCATTTCTTTGCTGCCATCTGTTGGTAGCTGCAGAGTAGTACATTGTGGAACTGTTGGCAATTTGCCCTCTGGATTAAAAAGGGGTGAACAGGAAGTTGTCTTACATCATCGGAGAGATCTAGAGAGCCAAGATATCGGGCAGAGGGTCTTGCAAGATTCTACTACGTCACCTCTTTAATCTGGACAAGGGCATAGCCTCTCTTTTCTCCAAATTACTCTAATTTGATTTTAATTAACCGAAAATAAATCGGCGGGAAGCTGACATTTTTAGTATTTATTCCATTTTTGATGCCGCCCAGTTCTGACATTTTGTAAAGCAATGCGCCAGTCTTTGGCACCGTCTAATTCCTGCCTCTTGTTCCGTGCAAACCTCGCTGGCATTTTTAGAAAATAAAAATATTGGGAGGTGTGTGTGTGTGTGTGTGTGTGTGTGTGTGTGTGGCTTCAATCCAGGGTTTGCTTTGGAAGTGTGCCCACTGCAGGGAAAGTGGGCTGGTAGAGAACATTTTGGGGTGTATATGAACACAGTATGTTCTGGCAGATGAGAGTTTTGTAACTGATCAGGTTTCCTGGAACAAAATGAGGGTAGACAGCCCTTCCCATGAGTGTCGTGTACAAGTGAGCCCCTGACATGATCTTAAGATGACTTAGGCGCCCCTCTTGACAAGATTTCATACTCCGTTAACTCAGGAAGGCAGAGATCTTACACAGGTGAGGAAAGTTTTTACCCTGGATTACGCCGTAGACACAGATCAGATGATGTTTGATGCTTCTTGGGGCAAGGAGATTAGTCCTTCGACATTTGGAAGATAAATTTATAGTCCCAAATACTCCGAGGATAGAAGACCTGCTGTTACTCACAGCTTATGAATGAGTGGCTTCTAAACGCTGAATTATCTATCCGTGTTTACAATGAAATATGGCCGTCTTTCACCGAGACAGTTCTGTAAAATTTTATGTACAGGTAGTCCTCGACTTAAAGGGTTCATTTAGTGACTGTTCAGAGTTATGAGAGCATTGAAAAAAAGACATCTAAGTGGTGGCCAAGAGGCTACGGCCCGGCAGTGGGCCACAGCCCATAGGTTGGGGACCTCTGCTGTAAAGCCCTACGAAGCAGTAGATATGTCTAAGCGCTGTTGCTATCTTCTGCCTCTATTTATCTCGACCCTCTTCCTCCTTGCAGAACCCCATTTTGTGGGCTCGGCATTTGTCCAGGAGAGCAAAGGCAGCAATATCGGAGATGACGACAAAGTCTACTTCTTCTTCAGCGAGCGGGCGGTGGAGTACGATTGTGACATTGACCAGGTGGTAGCCCGAGTGGCTCGGGTCTGCAAGGTAGGCAGTCTGCTTCTCTTTCTGGGGTCGCGTAGGGCTGGAAGGACTTCTGCACAAATCTTGGGGAGTGAGCTTTTCTAGGACAATGTTAAGGGGGGTGGGAATGGCCCCACACCTGGGCTAGGATCTGAAAGCTGCGTCCAGTCAAAGGTCTATTGTAAGGGGGTCTCCAAACTTGTGGACTTCAACTCCCAGAATTCTGGGAGTTGAAGTCCAAAAGTCTTAAAGTAGCCAAATTTGTAGATGCCTGGTCTATTGATTCGCAAGAAGCTGATGGGGAACTCACAAGGATTGGATTATTTTTGCTCCAAATTCCTGACCTTTGGAGCTTCCCGTCTCTAACCCTGGAGCGAAAAGACTCCAGAAACGGAGGCAGCCCAGCTGGTAGGACAACCAAGGGCAAACACTTCAGTTAAGCTCCCCTGGTTGGCAACGCTTAAGGGGTGTGTGTGTGTGTGTGAGGTAGTATCTCCACACAAATCTGGAACCCAGTGGGGAGATTTAAGTGGTTCACGGGCCATTCTTTTTTCGGTGCAGGGCGATGTCGGGGGCGCCCGTACTTTGCAGAAAAGGTGGACGACGTTTCTGAAGGCCCGTCTGCTCTGCTCCATTCCAGAGCAGCAGCTGCACTTCAACCGGATCCAGGGGACCTACACGCTGAACGGCGATCACTGGCGCGAGACCAGCTTTTTTGGGGTCTTCCAAGCACGCTGGTAAGGCTTTTCAAGGGGGCCCTTTGCTCCAATAGTGCTGATAAGACCGAAGGTTGGCTGTAGACTTTTTTTAAGTGGGAGAGACCAGTGGATTCACGAATAATAATAATAATAATAATAATAATAATAATAATAATAATAATAATAATAATAATAATTAATAATAATAATTAATAATAATAATAATAATAATGGACAAATGGCTGTCCAGTCTCTTCTTAAAAACTTCCAGTGTTGGAGCATTCACCACTTCTGGAGGCAGGTTGTTCCACTGGTTAATTGTTCTCACTGTCAGGAAGTTTCTCCTTAGTTCTAGGTTGCTTCTCTCCTTGATTAGTTTCCATCAGAAGCGAGCTTGTGTTCCATAAGGCTGTGAAGGAATCTTTTATATGTGTATCATGTGTAAAAGCCAGGCAGAGATTGGCATTGATCTAACACAGGGGTCCCCAATCTATGGCCCACTCCTGGGCATTGAGCTGTTCGGAACTGGGCCACAGAAGTGGTGGGCAAGCACAGGTGCACGGCACACGTGCACGCGTGCTCCTTTTGCACAAGCGGTGGGTGCACCTGCCTGCCACTTGCGCAAACGAAGCTGCGTTTGTGCGCTTGCTCACTGCTTGTGTGGCATCATCCCCTTCCTCCTTCCCGCCAGTCCACAAAGGGAACTCTGATCTAACAGGAATAAACCACCTTAAAACCTGAACCCTCAACCCCCTGTTTTCCTTTACTTCCTGCAGGGGAGACGTAGATGTCTCTGCCGTTTGCCAGTACCAGATCCTGGATGTGCAAAAGGTGTTTGAAGGCCCTTACAAGGAATACAGTGAAATCGCTCAGAAGTGGATCCGTTACTCCGATCAGGAACCTGTTCCCCGTCCCGGAGCCGTAAGTCCATGTCCCCACCGAGGCAGAACCCCTCAGTCTCGCCCCTTCCATCCTGCTTGGGTGATAATAATCCTTTGTATCTCCCATTGCTGTCAAGCAGCCGATACAGACAGTCCTCATTTAACAGTTGCCCTGTTT